TTCGAGCTGTATGTATGCGGAAAGGGAGGGGCGACGTGTGTGTGTGCTGTTCCATTTGTAATCTCTGCCAACAGCTGGAGACTTGTTCATTTCTATGTATGTGCGGTTGTTTATTGTTTTGAGTTACCGGTCCAAGTCTGCAAACGAGAGCCTGCTGCATGGTGATGGTTGTAATCCGGCCCCCCTCGTGGGCCAACTGCTTCAGACGCATTTTCTCGCCTCTTTTATCGCTTCACCATGAAAGCTGTAGTGATTTGTGGATGCATTCATGTGCACGCAAGGTGTAACTCATTTCTCCTTTTAACTCATATTGATTACTACATCTCAACTAATGAGTACAATGTTTCGTACTCGCATTCACTAACTAGGCGATATCCCGCACTGCAGCGAGTATTTGGCTGTGCTAAGAACCTTCGAGGAGGATAGCACTAGGTGTGCGGCATGCTGCTATTTTCTTGTGATTCAAAGATATGCGCGAACGCCAGGGATAAACAACCAGATGCCTACTTACGATTTCTCAAATACATGTTCTAAGCCTACATTGTAGCCGCCTTATCTCATATAAGGGCCAGTTAACTTTATACTTATTCATATTCCACAAACGAGAAGCTTGTTTTCGACCATTCTACCTGTTTTTTCCATTTAGTTTCTCTTTTGTCCAATATCCTTGCAGCTTGTGTTCTCTAAAAACTTGAAGATATAATTTAAGTTATATACACTAGCCAAATTTTACCACTTTCATACATTGTGTACATGTACACAATACATATCGTACAGTTTATTTGCGTATAAATTGCTTATCGACAAATATACGTACGCCGTCATTGTTTTTGCTAAAGTGTATCCCCAAGAGGGGAACCATATATCAAATGTCTGTTGACTTGTGGGATATAGATGGTGGATGCTTGACCATCTCATATATAGTAAATTCTCAAGCAAGAGGGTAAGCAAACCGGATTCGGGTTTCATAATCTTAGTGAGGATCTAGAGTGCTTACGATTATTGAATTGTACTAAAGTGTATGCATTTTGGATGTTGTAGTGGCTTTTCAAAGTTGGCATTCGATTGTTTTCTTTTCCGGTTAAAAAATGCTGCGTAGGCAATTTTGTGCACTTCTTTATAGATTTATTCAGCCGCAAAATCTATAAATATCTCAGATTTTAAAGCCTTAACTATAGCCACGAGAACTGCAAAGTAACTGCTCTTTTCACAAAGTATTGCCTCTAATGGTGCCTCTCAAGACATCACTCCATGCGAGCGTACTGCATTCGTAAAAGAAAATTTTTAAAATTTATTTATTGCTCTTTTTTGCGAACAAATTAACAAGTGCAAATGTAGTGATTCCGTGCAATATGCAATGCGTAATTTTAGTAAGCTGAAAATAACCGCTTTTACACAATTGTTACCCTTCAAAAAGGTTGAATTATATATCTGACTAAGCATCCTTTGTACTTGCCTAGATTTCGTATCCGATGTTTTTGTGCTTGGCTGCATAAGCAAAGGAGACTGTTAGAATTTTTGAATTCAAACACATCAATCTAGTTGGGTCGTTTATGCTAAAGACTTGTTTATTTATGCAATGTAGAACTCACTCGAAGGTACTTGAATTTGGAATGCTTTACTTTTTTATTTCCCCTTTCCACCTTCCCTTTTTGAACTCTTGATTTCAATCCAAAGCCTATAACGTTACTTTTCGCAAAAAGTATGTTCTCATAATAAGGACTATAGTGCATTTCTCGTGTAATAATAATGGAAAAGCGTACGTTTGTCGTACAGAGGCGGCTCTAGTTTCGTCCCAGGCATCCATTGCCGCCATGGGATCCGTTGTTCTGTATCCGGTCACTAGCGCGTGCATTGGTTTTTTTGCCCAACCATGGATACGGAGTGTATTTTGATGAAACTTGACCGCAGTCTGCATTACTTGAACTAATGCCAAAAGGCGTGGCGCTAGTCATTCAGGAAGTGATTTAGTTGCATCGATCCTTAGGAATCCATAACTTCGTTACCCTTTGCCAACTCGACATGTCCATTGTATTGACAAAGTGCAAAAGATTCAACCAAAGTGCGTAAAGTGCGGTCATTTGAATTGTTTTTTGTTAAGGTCTCTCTCTGTCCAGCAAGCTGTCAGCTAAACTATAGTATCAGTCATGAGGGGTGCAGGATTTTTGCACAGCTTAACGCTTATTGCTGGCTCTAAATGACCTTTTTGCTAAAGAAATGGAGAAGACACTGTTGGCTAATCGCTTCCTCCCCAAATAAACATCTGCACTATTCTGACCTAATAGTATAGCTGC